TTTATTTAGCTACACAGGCTTTGATGCAGTGTTAGTGGGGGCCAAAAGCTGGTTTTCACTGAGAGCAGCAGTGATGGCACCATGCCAAGGGGCTTGTCCTGGGAGCCCCAGAGGAAGGTGGGGCTCACGTGTGCTGCTCACCCCATCCAGCTGCTCACATCTGGGGACATCCCAAAGGTTTTGGTGGGTGAATCTTTGTTTTCTGTGTTCCTGGCTCAGCTGGAACTGCTCCTTTGTGAACATCACTTTGGAGGGGTGTCCCACTGCTGGGATCTCCACGGCTTCTCTTACCTCCTGCTGCAGCACAGCTGTGAATATCCATTGCTCCATGACTTTGCCAGTGCAACCCTGTGAAGGAGACAGGTTTCTGCTGGTCTCTGTGCAGGACAAGTGAGCTGCTCTCTCTGTGCTAGGCTAGCTGAAGTTTGGTAGCTCAGGCTGAAGAAGATGGATCTCTTGCTCTTGTGTCCTCCTTATTCTACACAGACTTTATTTTTGGTTGTAATTCCAGCAGTGTTGCTGTGTTCTAGCCCTTTTTTAAGCCTAGAGTTCTCTCTCTTTGATTTCATAATGGAAATTTTCAGAGACTAAAAGCATGCAGCTCTTGGAGCTCATTGTTGCCAGATGTTGCTTAACTGGACTAAAACAGCGTGGTGGAACAGGACCACACAGCTCCAGAATGTTTCCTTGCTTCGGAGCCCGTAGGGCCAAGGAAGCCCCTAAGTATTACAGTGACCAGATTTTTACACCTTGTCACAGGTTTGGCACTTCCAGTTGCTCCCTATAAAGATTCTACAGTGCACAGGATAGTGGCAGCTGCCTTGCTAGGGTTTTGGCTGTGGCTGCCATCTGGACCACGTTTACTGATGGCAGCTCTGGTTGCAGCTGCCCTCGGGGTGGAAGTCAGGCAGTGGTGTGCCATGGCTCAACACTGTGGAGACCTAAACCTTTGCTGGGGGCTGAGCTGATCCAAGATAGTGGCCACAGGAATGTCCTGTGTGTGCTGTAGTGCCCAGTGCTCTTTTGCATCTCCACTGCAGTCATTGCCATGAGTTGCTGCAGAGACAAGGCAAGGACGTGGTCCTTGAGAAGAACAGGCATATGATTTTTTTCTCTAGCTACCTTTTTAACAAACACTTTCCACTACGATCCATTCAGTTATGAGCATCCTGCTTTTGGGTTGTCTTGTCCAGGCTCAGCTCTCTCTGCTCCATGTGCAGGGATTTTGGTTGTCTCAATCCATCTGCTTGGAGAGTTTTCTGGAGTGCATCATGTGTTTTGGCTGAGGTGGCTCATTATTCTGGCTCTAATAGAAAAGCTGAACCACTGTAGGTTTCTGTTTAAAATGTATTCCACCCACTGCATGACCATGGTTGTGTTTTTGTCTTTCTTTCAGTTACTGATTTATCTGACATCTGGGATTTACAGCCCAGCACTTCAGAAATTGTTTGTAGCTGATGTCAAGAGCCTTGCCTAATACTGTAGATTTTAGGACCTGTATTCTCCTTAGAAGACTGAGGTTTGATACAAGCGTTCCAAACATCTACTTTGGGATGGTCTTGCTGATCTAATGAGTTAAAGGAGCAAGGTTTGCTTTCTTTAAACTTTCTGTTGGGCAAAGATTGAGTGAGCAGAATCACTTAACAGCTTTGTTGGTTAAAAGATGGATTAAATAAGGTGAAATACCCAAGTGTCAGGAATATTCTGACTCTGCCAAAGCTTTATCTATCTGGTGAACTCTCGCATGTATCTCACCATTTTTGGAACACAGGAGAAATTTCCAATAAAAACAGTTAAAAAGTGGGAAAGCTGTTTGCAGTGAGTATAGTTCAAAATAGCAAAGGAAGGAAGATTTTTATTTGTAAAATGTCTCTGGAAAGAGACCCCTGGGTACTCTGTAGCTCTATAAAACTGGCCACAGAGTCTTAACTCTTCTTAAATATCACTTTGAGACACTAAAAAGAATGCGAAGCAGGCTCCCACATCCTTTAAATGCCAGGCTATATACACATATATTAATACTAATAAAACAGAAGTCAGACAGGATGGAGCTCGTTCCCACAAGCTGTGGGCATCAATGTCTTGACTTCTGCTGCTCATCACAGGAGCTGGTCTGTGAGAAGTGAGCAGGGGAAAATGACCTGTGATGAAAAATTGTTCTTTATGAAAGCTGACTGTGGGTTCCTGTTGCAATCTAGCTGAGCAGATCTCAGTTGCTGGAATGCTGTGTTTGGGACATAGCAGCATCAGTGGCATTTCGGCTCTGTGCCTGTTGTGGACAAGTGATGGTGTCTGGTGATTTGTGGCTGGGCCCATGACTGGGAGCTGTGCAGCACTCAGGAATGGAGTTTTGACCCAGTCCTGCTGCCTTCAGCAGATCCAGGCATGCTGCAGTGCTCCCCTGAGAGTGGGCAGTGGTGCCAGGGTACATGTACACTCGCTGCCTTTAATAGCAAAGGGTGCAGCTTGTTTTCAAAATCACTTATGTGCTTGTTTTCTTTACTACTTTTAGTAACTTGTAAAATACTTACGGCCAATTATTTGAACAAACAATGTCGTGGAAGATAATCTCAGTCTTGGCAGTGCTGTTGGCTGGACACAAACATCCCATAAAATAAATGCTTTGGAAAAGTTTTCTGCGTGCTGGAGGTAGAAAGGGTATCCCTCTTTCCTCCAAACTGCCTCTGTCACACTATAGATGTTGAACTGTTTCAAAACTGACTTCTTTCAGCATAGAAGGTTCATTCAATGGGACCAGAGCTCTCTGACCCTGTACTCTGATGGGTCCTGCCAGGGTGACCCTTGTCTTTGCTGGTGTGGTGCTGTGAAGTGAAAAAGCAAGGCTTTCCCCAGGCCTGATCAGTGATTCCACATGAAATCATGGAGGGAAAATGGAACACTGATTAAAGTTTTCCCTTTGAAAATGCTTGTAGTTCTCCCTCTTGATCAAAGCACTGGGTTTGCAGATACCTACTGCCAGAACTGATTATGCTTCAGAAGTACACGAGACAGTGTTAAGACCCAGCATACCAAGGCAAGAACCACGGATGCTGGACGGGAACAGGACTCACTGCCTCAGCCTTCGATCTTCAGCTGGTTGCTCCTCATAACTTTTCTTTTCCCTGACTTCCCAAATAGGATGTGAGACTCTGCAGGAGTGCTCAGGGGCTGCAGAAGGACCAGGTAGATACTCCAATCTTACTTGCAGGACTGAGCAATTAATCTCTAAGGAAAACCTTAAACAAACAAATGCGGGAAGGAAGAATGCATTTAAAAAGTTTATGGGGTGCTGGGGAAACCCAGCTGGGATGGTTTTGGTGAGTGTGTCCAAGAGGCCTGTCATTCAGCATGATGCAAACACACCATCTGAAGGGATGGAAATCATCCCTGCCCCAGCAGTGTGTGGATGCTGGATCCCCAGCTTCTGCCATCAGCCCTGGGACCAGGGAGTCAGAGCATCCTGCTGTAAATCAGCACTAAAGGGGACTGAGCTACGTTGGGTTATGCATCCTGGGCAGCAGGATGCCAGCTATGCATCTGGACACCACATTGTGTTGAGGACTTGGCAGGCTGGCAAGGTTTAACCTTAAGAGGTGGCTCTGACAGACTGCTGGCACAGTCAGATAAGCTGCCTGTTCGGAATATTCCATCCCTGACAGCAGCACTTCCCTGCAAAATCCAGGACCTAGGATTTGGAGTGCATGGATTTTTTATTTATTTATTTATTTATTTGCACAGTTGATCAGAAGTTGCTTTTTGTGTGGCACTGGCTTGTGAAGATGATGGCTTTAGTTTGTTTTTTTTGGTTTGGTCTGGGGTTTTTTAAACACTTCTAGTGACCTCTTGACCTCTTAAGCTGCACAGACTTGAGGATACAAAGACAAACCTGAGTTCCTCTTGAACTATAACTTTTTTTTCTTGATGAAAGATCTTAAAATCTTTCCCCAAATCCACTCCCCAGGAAGACCCACCTTCTCCCCATTTAAACAGGTCTTGGGGGGAAAACTCCCAGCTTTTGTAACTTTGCAGCCAGATGAGCAGTAAACAGGCTCTGCCCTGTGCTGAGCTGTGTCCTGGGCTCTGCTGCAGCAGATCCATGTGCTAGATTTACCAGCCTGGCTGTGGAAACAAGCGTATGGACAAACATATCCCACAAGCTCAGGGGACATTAGCTCAGCTGCAGCACTCCATGGCACGAGGTTGGCTCGTGCATGGACAGCTTGGGCACCCATATCAGTGTCCCATCTGTTCCACAACCATTTGTGTTCTGGTGATGCTCAGAAATAGTGAGAGGGAGAAAGAAATGATGGGGGAAATAGAAAAGGGAGGCGTGTGTACACTGGTGAAATGGAGCTTTGGAGTGAGAACTCGGGAACAGATAAGGAGTCAGATGCACTGGCAAGGGATTTATTTTTTTGGGAGCAGGATTTGTTAAAGGGCAGCCCGAGGTATGGCCCCTATTGCATGGGGTGCCTGAGGGCCATTTCTTGTGTATTAAAAGGAATGAACCCAACAAAAAATCTCAAGCAGTTTTGTAGGTAGAACAGGGTAGACACAGAAAGTATCTGTGAGGATTAAAAGTGCATCCGGAAAGGAAAACTTTAAATCTAAACAATTTGTGTTTGTTATTTTTGCAAAATAAATATTTTAGTGCATTTGACATTCCCCCCCCCTCCACTTGCAAAGCACGCTGGGTGCTTGGTGAGGGCCAGAGCAAGATCTTTCACCAGTTGTTTTTGTGCAAAGCAGCTAACAGCAAGGATTCCTGGCAGAGGGTGTCCACTTTCTGTCTCTGTGTGTTCACATTTTGGTCAGCTCTGCCAGGACTAGCAGCCTGTTTCACTCTCAAATGTGTTAGCAAGTGCTGGGAGTCCATGGACTGCATGGGAATCCCCCTGCCCTCAGAGATGCACAAATCCTTGCATGGAGGCTCCCATGTGTTGCATGTGCACGTGGAGGGCAGAAAGGGGTTGCTTGTGGGTGTATCCCCCTGGCCCAAGAACTGCAGTAGAAAACCTCAGCGATATTTGCATTAATTTCCTTTTTTTTTATTTGCTTGATTTCTTTCTTTTCTTTCTTTTTCTTTTTTTTTTTTTTGGCTGTGCTTTTCCTCTCTCCTGATTTACTGCAAGCGCTCACGTGGCCTTGGAAAGGGGGGTTCTCAAACCGTTTTGCTTCCAAAAGGAAAAGAAGCTGGCAGGCATTCATATTTCACTTCTTGAGTTATGTAGGTTAAAGTCTCCCAGTGGGGAAAAGGAAGATATGAGAGAGCAGATTGCTGGTGGCGATACTCACTGGGAGGAAAGCGGAAAAAAGGAGCACAGAATTCTAGAGCTACGTCCGGACGAGTGTGAGGTCTGAGAGGTATGTGTTCTGTCTGCTGTTAGAACATAATTTCTATTGATTTGATTCAGTTTGTGATAGAATGTCTCATTGTGGGTGAAGTAACAGTAGGAAGGCACAGCTTAGGAGCAAATTCTAAGGCACCAGTTGTTCATGTGCAGAGGGGGGAGCGTGTTTGTCAATGAAACCTTGTTCTCAGTAATGTAGCTGCTACTGATTATGGTATGGTCCCTCTGCTAGGAGTAAGTGAGATATGTAATGCTCTGTGACGAGTTCTGAGATTTCAACTTCTGTAGGTTAAAGTGAGGGGTTCAGGACAAAACGGTGAAATGGGATTCCAGACCCTCCCCTGATTATTTGTGTTCCCAAAAACAAAAAAAAAAAAGCTTTCATCGGGTTTAAGATCTGTTTGATTACAGAACATGGGTTTGTGAATCACTATTTGTGACTTTTAATACTGGCACTCTGCAGAAATTCTCCTACTGAATTTTCATTGTTGAGACAATATATTGAAAAATAAATTTTTGTCAGTATATCCAAAGTAGCATATTGCATATCTTGCATTGTGTGAATGATAAGCTACTGTACCCTAAACTGTTAATACAGAAAAATATGTTTCAACTGATCTGCCTTCTGTTAAATGAGAGATCATTACCCAGTTCTGTTGTCTTGATCAAAATTTCTGTTGTTTTTAGGGCTCCTTGCGAATTCTTAAACACCTGATTTCATAAGGACTTAATTAAAAATAAATCATCCCTATTATGCAAAATAAAATATTTGGGTATGATACCTTCTTTATTCACGTATGAAGTTATTTGCTTATAAAGTCTTGAACTTTGAAAAGTGCTCTGCCCAGAATGCAGACACAAGCTGTTGAACTGGAACAAAGGCAGACCTGTCAATTAACTCTCCTATTTTAGCTGTTTTGTAGTTATTTTTCCCTACTGAAACCCAGTCCTGATCGTTCTAAACAAATGGCACAGACTACTGTTAAGTCCGATGCCTTCAAGAACTGAGTTTTCTGCTTGTGCCTGTATTTTTTTTTACTGTTCTGATTAAAGCTGTCATGAGGGCAGGAGATGCAGATTTTCTGTGAGAAGACTTTGACAGTGAATGATATTTTGCAAAGACTTTTCAGTGTCTTTGTATCCAGCCCTGTGAACTGAAAAAAAAAAAAAAAAAAAAAAAAAAGGCATAGCTTGCTCTCCTAATAGTCTTGTTAAAAAGCTGCTTTCATGCCTGTGAAGTCCCAGGAGACCCTCAGGTGTGAACTGCCTGATCTCCACTGGTGACTGCTGCCTTTCTACATTATTTTAACTTCTCAGAGTGCTGGAAATAGCATGAGAAAGCTGAGAAAAGGATCATGAGGAGCTTCAGTGAGCCCTTTGGGTCACAGAAGTTCCCAAAGTGTCTCCAGCTCCTGAGTCCATAATCTTTCTGCTCTGCTGGCCCCAGAATGCACCATCTGTAATCACAGATAAAACCCAGCTGCTTGCTTCTCTGCCTGGCTAATTAAGAAGTGCTGTGACCTCCCTAGGGCTAATTGTGTCCTGTCAGTGGGATGGAGGTAAGGAGTTCAGCAGGGTTGCTTGCTATTTCAGCACTCAGCTTCCTGACATAACTTGAAATGGTTTTTATTTTATTGTGACTGTGTGATTTCAGAGCTAAGACAGCTGCAGAGTGCATGTCTAACACATGGTTTCTGATCCACAGGTGAGAGATGTGATAGAAAAGTGCTGCTAGCGCATGAATTTCCTGCAGAACCTCCCTTTCCACCAGCACCAGCATGCAGAGCAACTACTCCCTGGCTGTCACTACCAGAGAAGCTCTTCAAGTCGTCCCTACAGCACTGACAAACTCGTCGGCTGTGTTACTCTTGCCGCCTCCCTGCCCCCTTACCTCTTCAGATTATCAGTTTTCACTAATTCCAGCACTCTTCTCTGTGGTTTTTGTTCTGGGATTGGTTGGCAACAGTGTGGTGGTTGGGGTGCTTTGTCGCCCCACTGGCACCAAAACAGTTGCTAATATTTACATTTTCAACCTGGCCGTGGCGGATCTGCTGTGCCTTGCCACCCTTCCCTTCTGGGCCACCTACTATGCCCAGGGGTACAACTGGCTCTTTGGGTCTCTCATGTGCAAGATCTCCAGTTCTGTTCTGTGCTTGAACATGTTTGCGAGTATTTTTTTCATCACATGCATGAGTGTGGATCGGTACCACGCCATTGTCCATCCTATCCACTCCCAAAGAAGGACTCTACAACAGGCTTATTTTGTAGCATCGGTTGTGTGGGGCCTTGCCTGTTTGTCCTCCCTCCCGACTTTTTATTTCCGAGACACTTACTACATCGAAAGCCTGGGGGTCAAGGCTTGTGTTATGGCCTTTCCTTATGAGAATTATGCAAAATGGTCTGTGGCAACAGCCTTCCTGAAAAATGCCCTCGGCTTCTTCATCCCCTTGACAGTGATCACCACCTGCTACATCTGGATCAGGAGGCACTTGCTTAAAGCACAGGAGTTTGGGAAAAGCAAGCAGAAGAGGGACAAAGTGCTAAAGCTGGTGGCTGCTGTTGTTGTGGCCTTCTTAATTTCCTGGCTCCCGTTCCACATTTTAACCTTTTTGAATGCCTTGGCTCATATGAACATCATTAACAGCTGTGATGTGATAAGGATTATTGACACAGCGCTGCCATTTGGCATCTGCATGGCATTTGCCAACAGCTGCATCAACCCTTTGCTGTACTGCTTCATTGGGAACCAGTTCCAGCAGAAGATCCATCACTTGTTTAAGAGACGAGTTTATCAGTTCAACAGCCAACGAGAAAGCTCCTCTTTGAGGAAGGGCAGCTGCTTCAAAGAAGCTGAGACCCCCATGGGCAGGGAAAGGGAACCTGAGTCCTTTCTGTAGGCACTGGGCATGATGTGGGACTATATCAGTGCAGCTGGCTGTCCCTGCAATGATGACATTTCTCTCTCCTCTTCCCTTTGTTTTGTACCCATTCACTTACCAGCTGTTTGAAGGAGAATCTGTTTTTATCACATATGAGGATTTATTCCTCCTTCTGCAGCGAGCAGTCAACTTTTACAGGGGAAAAGTTCAGACAAATAAATATATTGATGGCATTTTAAATATCAGCTTTTTGCATGGCTGGGAACAGGCAAGTGTTAAATGTGACACTAAAAGACACTAAATATACCAAAGGACCATTGCACGACAGCTACAACTGCGTAGTTGCTGAGTATTATACCCTAAGCTGATTTTCTAAAAGAGATTCTCACTCAAGAATGTGTAAATAAAGAAGTGCAGATATTTCTGTATCTATCAGTAAGAAAATATTTTGGCATATTTCGTATATTTTAATTTTTTAAAAATATATGGCAAGAGATGTCGTATGTAAAATGCATCAAATATACCTCCTGTTTGCTTCGGCCTGGCATCCTGAGAAATGTGGAGACATGGCTCTGCCAACTTCTGGAGAGAGGAGAGTATTCCTCAAGGAAAATAAAGCCACATGCATGTTTCTACATCTTTCTCATATCAGGTAACATGTTCGTAGCCCAGATGGTCTTTTGCTTTGGTCCAATGTGGTCACGTTGACAGTAAAGCTGCAGGAACTGAACATGCAATGTCCCACTGCTATGTGGGAATGCCAAGCCCCTGGCAATGTCCAGCAGCCTGCAGGGAAAGGATTTGCTGATCGTCTGGATGTTTTGAATTTAAACTGTCAATTACTACTGTAATTTTGGGGTACTGCGAGATTCTGGCTGAGTGACTCCGCCTCGACACCTAGAAGTAAAACCATGGTGTGACTCCTAAGCCTTACCCACTAATTTCTAATCAAAAGAAGGAGTGGGAGGCAAAAAAAAGGTATTTGGCAAACACTGATACTATTTTGAGGTTGCTTTTGATGTTTCTTTGAAATTTTCTTTTGCTGGAGAGATACTGGTCCTCTTGGACCCTTCAGAAAGGATCAGCTTTGAATGAGCTCAATCTAAAAGTGACCTGTTAGCACATTGCTCTATTGCCTGAAGGTTGTTCCCAGGCTGGGTGATCAAAAGATTGTTAACTTGAGGGAAATGTTTTTGAGAGTTACTCCTGAGGCTTCCATTAACAGTTTTGGGTCCATAGGTCAGAAATTATGCCTGGTGCTTGGGGCAACCAGGAGTCTGGCCTCCCTGGAAGTCTCAGCACTGACTGCTGCCTGGAAGCCACGGGAACCTGGTGCAGAAGCTGGATAGGGGTAAGTTTCTTCACTGGATTATACAAGAAATGTGCCAGTCCCAGAGTGGTGAGAGACGGAAATTTTGTGCGGAATTTGGCAAAACAGGGCCTGACCACAAATAAGCCCTTCTGCCTGTCCTGGTCTGGTGTTCTGTGACGGGGTATGTGGTTGGAGAGATGCTTGTCCCTGAAAGTGGAAGAACTACTAATGCAGCTCCCCTGGAATGTTTTTGTTGAAAATGTTCCGAGGAGCTAATAGCGTCTGGGGTGTTGGGTATTTCTGGAAGGACAATCTGTTAATTGCTTAGCAATAAGGACAGCAAGGCAGTGGTGCTACAGCAAAACAAACCAGTGCACTAAGAAAATTACCAGGTGTTCAAAGCGCAGGCTCAGAGGGGTAATAAGAAGTTGGGGAGACTTTTTGCCTTTGCTGCAATACAGGTCAGCAACAAACATATGTGGGAAGTTAATTGATATCTCTGGAATCTCAAAACAAAAGCTAATCTGCACCATCTGAGCCCAGTGGTACCTGTGCTTCAGCTGCACCTGTCCTGAGAGTAAGCACAGACTGCATGTTCTCTACATGCCAGGCTGGACCTGCTAAAAAAGAACAGTGTTTAACAGGGATTGTGCCTGGTGTGCAGATTGAGGTTGATAGGGAAATACTACAGTGATCTGAAATCCAGCAGCATTTACACCTGTGAGAGGCTAGAGAAAACAAGAACAAAACTTTCCCAAGGAGAGAGCAGTGATGCAGCATCTCCCTCTGTTGTGGGATGAACTCCTGTTTGTGTGCTGGAGGGCAGGGATTGATAACCACTTGCAGGGGCTGAGGCAGCTGCACACAATGTTACTTTCCGAGAAACAGGGGAACAAAAAAAAGAGTATTGAGTGCGTGGCAAAACTGAAAGGGGAGGAAAAGTCCTTCTTTCAAAATGCAGTTTCAAAAGAAGTCTACCCTGAAGGTCATATTCTGCAAGAGTGACAAACCGAGTGACCCCAGTGGGACACTTCTGTTTACCAGATCTGCCTTGTACCTCTAATAGGTCATGAATTTGAGTAGTGTGGTTAAACAAACCTCCCAAAAACTCTGTCTCGATAGGAACCTGATATGGAAGCAGAGGAAGTGCTGTATCAAGGGTTTTGCTTTATTTTTAGAGCAAACTGATTAATGTCGAGCTCTAAGAATTTCTTCTATCATGCTCAAGTTTCTCATGAGATTTTTCAGGACTTTTAACAGAAAATGTATGTGTGGGAGGGGTTTCACAGTTTCCACGTGTTTATTTTTTCAAGATTTTCGGCAAAAGAACGTGAACAAAAGATTTAAGTAGATTTCTTTTCCTTGCAAATTTAGAAGCTACTTTTTTTCCTTTCAGGAGAATATTTTGCTGGTATTTGCAAATGATTCTAGTTGTTGTGCAGTGCTGCAGCCTCTTTCTGTCAGACCCCAGTTCCACCTCCTGCCCTGGTCCTTTGCAAGCCTTGTATTCCCTGAGGGAGCTCTAGAAAATGCAGCCCCCTGTCCAATGCAGGAGCCCTTCAGCCCTCTCGTGGGGTGAGCAAGCCTGGGAGCCCTGCTCAGGCCAGCCTGGCCATCCCCCAGCACCCACCCTGACTTTGGGACACACAGAACAATTCACACAGTTTTGGCAGGGATTTTGCAAGTGTGTGTGATTGCTTAGTGTTGCTCACTCTGCAAGTACAGAGAGATGAATTTATGAGCAACAACTGGGTTTTGGCTCTGTTCTGCCATGGTGCAGCAGAGTGGAAATCCCCCTGTGGAAGGGGTGTGTTGTGATCTACCACGTAGAAATGCTGATGGGTTTGGAGTTGAAGCTGACAATGGTAACAGGGAAACTCCCCTTTGGAAATGGGAATGTCCTGGAGCACTTCTGGGTCTCTCAGGTGATCTTTCCCCAAAGAGGGATAGAAGGGATGGTTTTCTACAGGGGTCACTCTGTGTCTGATTTATTTGCACAGCAAAACCTGTTTGTGCCTTCCTTTTTTAGCTCTAGTTGATTATTCTCAGCTTAAATGATTGCAGAAAGCAGCATCTCAGTCCAAACCGAGCATCCTGTGTGTGTCCCTGAGCTGGCTTGACTACACAACTTCAATATATGCAGCAGAGAAAGGCATTTATTATCATGAGCTAGTGCTGGGTGGTGAGCTAAATGCTTTGTTTATGTAAGATATACAGTAAGAAATGTTTGGTACAGCATGTTCTCCCTGAGAATTCAACACAGCCTGAATCTTGCACTGGCATCCACTCAGCACTCTTGTCCCTGCTCCTGCCAGATTCTGAGCAGGAATATCATCTTGCCACTTTGCAGCTGACTGCCACAACTTGGCTTCCCTTCACAACAGGTCCCCTTGTCAGAGCCAGAAGGTGCCATGGAACAAGTGAACTGCTCACGTTTCCCTATGAAAATTAAGCCTTTTGGATACACTGAGTGGTCCTGGCAGGAATGCAGGAAACCTGAAGTGTGGAGGTTGAGGAGGTCTGGCAGCTTTTCCTCCATGCTGGCAGACTTGCTGCTCTCGTCTCAAATCTCCTTCCCTTGGAGGAAAAACGGTGTTGTTGGGAAGGGCTGCTCTGTTCAGCAAGGTCCTGGGATGTGCCTTCTTCACATCTGCCTGCTGCAGGATCCAGCTTGTGCAACAAAGAGGAACTTGTTCCTCTGGCCCATGGGCTCTGCCATGAAGGGCTTGTGAGTGTCCTATGTCTTTGTCTTACCAGCTACCTGTCTACAGAAGGAGCTCAGGGCTGCTGTCTTCAACCTCAGATATCCTCTGGTTTTGGTACAGTGGTCAGCACATCACCATGATTGTGGTAGAGCATCCAGGGAGGTACCTGGCTAAGAGGCAGTGCTCCATCCTGTTTGCCAGGTTTCACTAGAATCAAAATGGGAAAGAAAAAAGAAAAAAACAAACTGGTAAAATTAGAGATTTTTTTAATTGAAAGCAATGTGAGTTTGTCTCTAAAGTGGAGTAATGCCTAACCCTGTGGGATACCCAGCTGCTTTGCACAAGCCTGGCTAAAATGTGTCTGGACCTTGGTCTTGGAATTGAAGAATCTGGGTACAGGGAGTAAGCCAGCCTCTTTCATTACCTCTTTCAAATGTTTACTTTCCACTTCCTCTTTAGCTGGGACAGAGCCTGGATTTGACACTGTAAGCTCCGGATAGAACTCTGTTAATCCCCAAAGCACTTCACGGGGACAGAGCAGAGTGATATGTAAGTGGATGAGGGTCATGACATTAATATCCCTGCCATGAGGTACATCTGAACTTGCCCCCCTCCCCTGCTGACACCCAGTAGCTCTTCAGTCTAAACAAATATAAAATCATAAAGCTCCACTCCATTCCTGTTAGACAAGAAGTTATGGGAAGCCAGGATCCAGCGTGATTTTTGGCTTTTAGAATTGTAAATTTAAACATTTTATTGTTTTTACAGCAAATAAGAAAATCAACAACAGTGCAAATATGACTTATCCAACACAGCTTCCAAGTCTACACAACAGACAGCTGAAATGAAACACAGAACGAGACTGTCTCTAGAAATCACACTCACCTTCTAACAAATGTAAGAAGCATTTCTAGCAGGAAGGGAAATGGTATAATCATTAAATGCATTTAGACAGAGATGTATTGGATATATGAGATTACAGTTACTCTTGAACAATGTGTGGGAGAGCTTAATGCAATGAAATGGAAATATGTCACATTCATATAATATATCCCCAAGGAAGCAGAAGCAGCATATTATTATTACTGTTTAAACTTGGGTTTAACTGTGTCTTCTGGTTTCACTAGGGATGCCTCAGAGGTTGTGCTCTGAAGTTACCTGCCCACACATATTGCAGTTCATTCATCGTGGAGGAAGCACATGCATGTAGAGGTGTTGGCTGTGCTGGAAGCGTGGGGCTGAACTCTGAAACAACTTGTCTGTGCCCTAAACCTGCCTCTTTGTGCTTTGCTGCCAGCTGGCACTGTGGGCAGCTGGTGTGTGAGCCCCCAGGCTGGGCAGTGGGGAGCTGTCAGCCACAACCATCCCAGCCCCAGGCACCCTGGAATGCCCTGGCAGCCAGGGTGCAGTGCCATACAGCACACAGCCTCCCTCAAAAGCACAGCAAAACATCTGCACTAACAGTTAGGACAGCATCCAAACATGAGCTCTTTCGCAATGACAGGAAAGTGAAAATTATGAATACAGCGTGTGCTAGGCACGCAGCTGTGTCATGACAGGGTAGAAAATATGTAGCAACTACCCCTGCCTCTGGAGAAAATGAAGCACTCCAAGAGGTGATGTTTATGTGACATACAGCTGTTTAGGGCCTTCACTTGCAGGGGAGCACGGTAAGTTTTCTCAATAGATGCTGATTGACTTGACTTTGTGATTTTTGGCTTGCTTTGGTAAGTCCTTTAAGGAGTTTTACAAGTAATGAAATAGATCTCATGACACTTGAGTACTACCATCTTACCCTGCCAACACCTTCACTAATTGCAGTGAGGTTTATTCCAAGGGAAGGACAGTGCAATCTCTCTATACGAATCTCTACAGTTGTGAACTCCAGAGTTGTAGAACATTAGGAATCCCTTTTTATCATAAAGTGCTGAATGTCCTTGTTTTTCTGTGTTTACTGTCTCCTTTCAGATAAGTACAGTGTGCTGAATTTGTTCTTCAAAGTGCTTGTGTTCTTTGCAAGAGGATTCCTCCATGTGCAACTCAATATGCTGTAAAAATGTTTGACAAAGGTCTACTCAAGAATGTACTTTAATACCCAGATAGACTTTCTGATGTAATGAACACGTTTAATAGTGAAAAGATTTTTTTTTTTTCAAATCCATGCTAATAGACTGCTGTAGTTCAGTATATGTGGGATTTTATTAGGGAAATAACACAACCCAAGGGAGTTGTTTTCAAGGACAAGTCTAAGAAAAAAAGTCTTCATGGTATGACACCAAATATGCTGTATTAACTGGGGAGAGCCCTGTGGACATCACTGGCTCTCAGCCTGGGATCTGGCAGTCTTTCATCTGATTTAATTTTGACCTTCATTTCCTGCAGGAATGCAAAGGGATTTTTCTTTTATCCACTGGAACACCCGGAAAAGAAATTACCTATCAGTCAGGAATGTTTATTCCTTCACCTCTGAGTCCAACATGAATCAAACTATGACACAACTAGCCGCTTTTCTAGCTACTTCTATGACGAGATTTGATACTTTGCAGGTAAGTCTCCCTAGGATTAAGGAAAACACAAAGAGGTAATGAAAACAGAAAGTTGTTAATGTTGGGCTACCCTGTAGATAACTGAGCTGCAAGAGTACCCAGAGCAGTCTTCACGCTGAAGGCAGGAGCAGATTTTATCCATACCATACACAAGCTGGATGGGAAATTATGTACTTGCTGACTTCTAGGACAGCATTTGAGTTAAGCAAGACATACCATCAAAAAAACAATCCACCATTTAAAAAATGTCAGAGGTTCATGTGGTACAAACAGGGTGGATTCGGTACAAGGGTCTGTCGAAAGCCTCTGAATAATTACTGAGGAACGTTCACAGGTTTTCCTTGGGCAGGTGACAGTGCCGAGGACTTGTTCTGCTGCCTTGCGACACTGGTACAGGAGGCCCAGTGACCTGAGCTGGATGCGGTTGGAGACACATAAAGAATGGAGAGGCTGATCCCAGAGCTCCCTCCTGCTGTGGATCCTGTCATAAATCTTTGTTGTGTTCATGATGCCACCTGTGCCTGTCCCATAATCTTTGTCATACCATTACCGCAGGTACGCAGTAATGTTCACACCAGCTGAACTCATAATGAAGTAGAGCAATGCTGGCAGTTGACGCCTAGAGCTGTTGTACAGAGCATTTCCTTTGGCCTTGCTCCCTTTCTGTCTCCAAGCTCTTATAGAACAAATAATTAATGAGACTAAATGAAGGAAGTCTGTCTTCAGCTTTATCGGGATCTTAAACCCTCCCTGTCACTGGTTCAAAAGAGAAATACTCCAAAGAAGCAATGGAGCTAACTCAGAGTTGCAGCAACACAACAGGGCTAAGGGACAGACAGTCATGTGTTTTCCTTCATAAGGTGACCAAAACAAGTCACTGGCATCTTTCCTTTTCCATAGAATTTGCCAAAGGAGCAGCCTTTTGTAGATCGTTCTTGTGCTAGTTCTTAATTTACTGGCTCTACAGGCTCCAGCCTTCACTCTCTCCCTGGCATGAAGCATTTACCTGTTCTGTAAACAAATTCATGCCATTTCTACTGATGGAGGAAGTTGCTGTTCAGCCACACCATGGTAAAACATGCCTTATTTCCTCGTATGATCTCACCTAATCACACATATTGCTCTAAGGGCTGAACATGCTCTCAGGCATTTGTTTAGCACAAAGCTTATCCTGCAGAAGTCCAGTGATTTTGCAATAAAGCAATTGTGCTTTGGGTTGTTGGGAAATTCTGAAAGGCAAATTTAGAACTCCTTTCCTGAGGCCATTTTGCCAGGGCTCTCTCTTGCTGAAGGCAATGCTCATTTCCTTGTTAGCCTCTTCAGGGAATCTAAATGTCCCAATTAAACTATTATGTGCTGGTCTCTGCATTAGAAACCTCAATCCCATTAGATTTTTTACCATCCATGAAAGTCCCTTAAATGCTCCGTGATTCAGCACAGTTTTCTGCATTTGCAGGCCACTTGACAGAAAGAGGGCACACTATTGGGGTGCATGAACTTCATTCCAATTGGAGGAGGTGAAGCTCTGATTGCTATTTCAGATTTCACCTGGGAAAACCTAAGCCGAGTAGAGAGGAGTAACTTTCATCTTCACATCCTCTTCTTTTCTGTATGCTCTTGCAGCTATGAGTAAGATGACAGGACATTGTGGGTTTGGTGGTTTTTTTCAGGAGTAAAATATTATGGGTACCTCCTTTATTGATTGTTGTGTGGACAAAACATTCTCAAGGCTCAGGCTGCAAGCCAAGTTACAGAAACTCAGTTCTGTATTCTGAGCTACAGTGAATGCACTCCAGTTAGGAAACACTGAGCTGTGAGTTTTGCAATATTCATCTTAAAACCTCACTGAACGAAGTTCTATAGATTTGCTTACAGATTGTTTTTTTGTTTCGTTAAGTCCTTAGGGGATATAATGACATGTCAGACCTTCTCTGAAAGAAGAAAGAGGCCACCTAGTGTCGAATTACAGGCTGCTGTAGAAAACTGCTTGGAAGTTACGAAAACAAAGCTTCGGTGCAATAATAATAGCATTTGTGGGAGTTTAAATAAAAAAACCCCAAAACAAAAACAAACAAAAGAAAAAATAAATAAAAACACAGCCAAAACAAAACAAACAAAACCCCAAAACCAACCAAACAAAACCAAACAAACAAAAAACCACACACACAAAAAGAAAGTTAGACATTAAAAATCAGATCTGAATTCTCCAAACTTTAAAAACTTCAGCATGTCTATTTTACAGGTGTATCTACTGCTTGTTGTAAAAAAATGAGTGAGATTTGGCAGCTGTTAAGTTACTGAAAGTTCAGTGCAGCACTCAGAAGACAGTTCTACTCTGGTAACTATATTGACATATTTGTGAAAACCCCACTGCCCCACAGAAGGGACAGCTGAGTGAGGGTGAAGAGTACTGGAACAGATGTTCATTGAGCCAGACCAGCTGCCAAGGCACTTCAGAAAATCCCTATAGGCTGCAGAGATACCACTGGCATCTCAGGATGCCTGTCTTTCTTTATGTTCAGTGGTGAAAAAGTTGCCCCAGCAGGTTGTTTCATGTCTTATAAGTCTGAATTGCCTGCTGGTATTGCTCCTTCTTCTGCATTGACTTTTAAGAGACCATGGAGCCACTGGCATGTTCAGAGGAGGGTCTAAACTGATGGGTTTTTTACCTAAGGTCTCTTTGTTGTCTTCTGGAGATACTTGGCTTTTCATACATTCTCTGCAGAAGGAAATGGGTCTCCTGGGTGCTTAATCTCACTTGGATGACTAAGGTAGATGGCATGAATAATCCCCCAAGGCATGTATCAGGCATCTCTGTTAAATACTGGTCTTGCATGCTCTAGCATTCAATCAGGCTTCCAGCGACAGCCTTGCTTTCAAACAGAATCTACCCTGTAGAGTGCAGGTTAATTTGAATATATACAACTGTAGGGAAATGCCTGTATTCATCTAGAAGGAGTCTGTCTACATAACATGAAACAATTTCCTTGGGAGAAGAGAAAGCACATTTCCATGTCCCCTCCTGAGCTATGGTGTTGTCCAAACAGACGGCTGAAGCAAAGTTCTTAAATTTTGGATTTTTCATATTTTGGTGCTTAGTTTCTCTTGTTAGTCACTGACAGCTGGAACCTTCTTAAAGTTTAGAACTTTCCAGATTAGACCTTAAGTATCTTCTTTGCAACATCCAGAAATGGAGGTACCCAAAATCAATGTCTCTGTGAACTTGTAGCCATTTCATTTTATTCAAGCAGTATCATGAAAGTACTTCTTCCTTTTTCAAATATTCACTATGCAGATCAGTGCTTTAGTAATTTCTGCAAGCATAGGGTGTGCTAACGTGGGACGGTTAATGCATGCCCTGGTGGCATGGAATTCTAGTAAGATCAGTTTAATTTGTTATGTAGCTATAATAAGAACAAAGTTCTGGTGCACAAGACTTCTAAAAACAATCTACATAGAAGTAAAGGGTAAAACCCAAGATAAGGTAAGATTCCATGTAAGATTACATATTGATGAGATCAACTTTGTTCTGTGTTTGAGGCATTTTGCTGAGGGCATAAATTGTTGTTTACCAGATTAGATGGGAATAGCAAAGTAATAGCAAAAAATAGTAATAATTCCTTTAAGTTGCATAACTTCCAAGAAAAAACTATATTTAGAGGACTCAATGTAACAAACTCCACAGATATGAGTATTACTTTATACCTACATCAATTATTTATTATGTTTAGAGAATGTTTGTGGCAGTTGCAGCCCTTTTACATATTTCAGTAGAAGCTCTAACTCAGTCTGGCATCTATGTGGGTAATAAATAAATTTCAGATCAAAACAGTTAGGTCACAGCAAATAAAAAACAAAGTTAGTCAAAACTTAGTAGGAACAGAAGTCCTCAGAGCTTGTTTTTAATGCCTCCCAGTTATTTGTCCTATATCAAGTCTATCCCAGATGTGTTCTTGGGTACGTGCTCTGTTCATGAGGAGGACAGTTCACATAGCCTAGTGGGAGCTTATATTTTTCACAATGTGTGCCTAATATTTGAAATTCCAAGATTTTAAGACAAGAGGGATATTTATAATGTTTAGAATTGCCTGCTCTTATCTCCTGCACAGCCCTACTTCAGTCAGGTTGTGTTTTTCTAACCATTTGGATATATGAATCCTAAAAAAAGTCTAATGAAAGTGTAAGTCCAAGGAAGTGCTACCAGGCTGGGTTTTTAATAATTGTTCTTTGTAGACCATTCAAAGTAGTCCACTGGTCTGCAGGGACCATGGACAAGAGACTGCAAACCACAGAGCTGTGTTTTCCAACAGAGTGGAAAACAGGGACGTATGTGGTGAGCATGATTTGAACATGCTGAAAACAAATGTGCATGTGACAAAGTGTACACAGGCAAACTCACATGCTCTTAAATCAAAAGGTGTCACAGGCACTAACGCTGGTCCTCTTACGTCTACAGAGCAGCACCTCCACCCATGAGCCGCTGATATCAGTGTTACAAAGGAGTTGGGTTGATCACGGAGAAGAAAAACATGCATGGAGGTCATCAAAATGTCTCAGAAAATATTTCAGGTAAATACACCACCATTTGCTGATAATGATCTTTAGCTGGTAGGAAATCTTGGTGGTGGTTCGTCAGCTTTGGAGGCAGCAGCAAACCATATCTTTATGTCCCCTTCTGAAACACAATCCCAGAATAGTGCACTAGAATTAAAGCCTACAAATGGTGTATTTGACAATGTGTTCACTGCAATGAGCAGTCCCTCCTCTGGGGGCCTTCTGGGCTGCAACTAAGCAGTAGAGTCCTCTTTTCCATCCATACCGCCACAAGAAGCAGATTTGCGATGTCTTTCTGTGATACCTTTACAAAAGCTGTTCCCTCTCTTATCTGAAGCAAAGCGATTACTTGAGTAAATAAATATCACCTGGGAGATTTATCAGCGGCTCTAACTTTTGCCTGCAGAATCCTCCAGTGTTTTCTGTCTTGTGCAATTGAGGAAATATTCATAAACCCTTAAGATACAAGAACTGAAGGAATGCTCTAGAGCTTTTCTGATAAGCCTCAAAATTTCCTGGTAGTACTAATGTCTTTTAACTTTCCAAACCTGAAGAAATAATACAGATAAAATTGCATGCAGAAGGAACACACACAGACAAAAACTGCATGTTTCAGCCAAGAGAGAACATTCTTCTGTAAGATTATGTTTAACACCATACTGTCAGATTTTTTGCCACTTCCAACAAAAAGTAAAGCTAGTAGTGAGAAATCTGATGCTGCCCATTAGTCTCATACACTGCAATAACTCCTGAGGAAAGAGAGAAGCATCCAAAGCTTCTTTGCATTCCCTTTTCTCTCCTTTGTTTTTGTTCAGCCTACCAAAGCTCTTTTAAAAGCTGCCAGGTCAGCATTTCAGATCCAAACCTGACTATCCTTGCCTTGAGTAGGGTTGGAGTCAATCATCTTTGTTATTAATGATCTAAGTGGTTCTACTTATCTTTTTTTAAGCTTATCTGTTCTGTTTTACAAATCTCTGGCCATCTCTACTCATGCATCTTCCTATTTGGTTCACAGCAATTACAGAACTTTAGTATTGCATTCCTCAGAGCTGTTGTTAGATTTTGTGTCTCATTTTACTTGTCCTGTGCCATCTGTACTTTCCTTGTCCTGACCTTCCTTGGTTTCAGTAAAACCGGTTAAGCTTTATTTTTGTTTTCCTTTTGATAGAAAACATATTTTGCTGAGTGATTTTAATTCTTAATGCAGCAAGTTGCATATGGTCAGACCCAAGAGTTGGTTGAATTTCTTCCAAATTTGTTAATTTTGTCTTCTTCCTTCCCTCAAACCACACCAAACAGATGATCAGAGTAGTGCTGGGATGGTCCTGGTATATGTAACTGTTACATAATTTAATACAGGAGTCCTGCCTGTACCCCATTAAATAAACAAGCACATTGCTTCCTTCAGCTGTTGGAGTTTGCTGCTTGATTTACAAAGTGGGAAGCTATGGCTTCTTTCTTTCCTTCAGCCCCTTCCTTCATTTCAGCTTCAGAAACTGAAGTTTCTTGCAGTTGGAATGCTTGGTAATACCCGTAAAGCCCGTCAGTCTTCTTTGAGAAGAAAGGGTGTGGTGGGCTGTCAAGGCACCTTTGACCTCCATCATCAAACCTTTCTTCTCCATCTTCCAGCATATAGAGAAAAGGCTTATAAGAAAGCTTGCTCCGGTAGGAGGATCTACTCCAAAATATTGGCAAATGGAATTTTCTTACTTTTTAACAAATACATTTTTTTGCTGCACTGAGAAAAATCCAAGGAAAATGCTAAAATCAACCATCCAGTAATTTCTGGTCCTAAATTTGTCTCAGGCTCTGTACTGGAGAAGAAGACATCTCCCCAAATATCTTTCTTTAGTTATTCTTAATTGTCTTTCTGTGTTATTTTTTTTAATTACTGCCTTATGTGGGAAACCTAGTTGTGTTTGTCCAAGATTTTTGATCTAAGAGTTTTCTAAGGGTCAGCTCTCTTTTTTTTTTTTTTTTTCTGTAGGCTCCTAAACTTCTTCTGTGAGTCACAAAAAAAAATTATTTGTGTAGGTATAACTCTGTGGAAGTCCCTCTGGGTCTTTGCACAGAAAAACTACCCTCAAAAAATTATGCCATGAAAAATCTGTGAAGTACTTCCTGAAGAACTGGTCAAGTATTAGGTCAGTGTAATCCCCTAACCTTTTTGCTGCGGGGTTTAATCCTCCAAACAGGTTAGAGTAATTCTCAGTAATGTGTCTTGGGACTCCATCCAACACAGGCAGCGACAGTGCTTCCTCTTCCTTCTCTCACCAGGCAGCAGGTCAGAGGTTTTGCTGTTACTTGTTTTTCCAATGGGACAGAAACTTGCTGGGAGCACCTGTGGGGAAAAAAAAAGGCTTCTGTTGTATTTACCTTTGAATGGCAAGAGGGAGAGGGACTGCTCTGTGTTTGTTTTTAACCTGGCAGCTCTCACATTCCTGGTTTCCTTCCAATTTCTTGGAAGCCTGGTCTCATACAATCACAAAACTCTCCCCTATTGAGCAACAGTTTTGTTCCTTCTCTGAAGCATGACTCCTTTGGGAATGTCCAACTGGAGCACAGAGTAACCACAAAACTGTAAATCCAACGTGTGCCTCGTGCCATTCAGTGCCAAGATCTGCCTGGAGTGTTTGGAGGGCATGACCCTCTGCAGTCCATGCCTTGCTGCTGCATCGTGCTCAGCTGGCAGGTCTCCAGCACCAGCTGAGAACTGTGTTCACCAGCCCTGGTGCAGGGAAATTGGGCCCTATTGTGGTCAGATTGAGTGTGATTCCTAGACTAGTCCTAGGTGAGTGGGAACACTTCTTCCCAGCTACAGCTTTATGCAAATCAAAGCAGCTCTCAGGAGTGCATATCAATTGATCAATCTGAGAAGCCTTTAAGGGAAGGACTTTCCCACATAGGAATAAAGTTGTCTGTGTTCTTCTCACTGTGACATTAGTGGGGGGGTGACTATGCCTTGGCACTCTTGGAACACTCTGTGCCAAACTGCACCAATGTCATAAGACATAACATCGGATGCAGCCCATGTGGGTGGGCTCCAGTCTAGTGGAAGCAGATTGTGGGGTTTTAACTTTCCTGACATGCAGGGCAATAGAGGAATCCTGAGAAAGGGTGAATATGTTGGGATAGAGGACTGGGAAGGAGGAGGAAGTCTCAGTCTTGTCCTTACTTTTTGCTACTGCAGAAACACCTCTATCTTTTTGTGAAGTCCTTCTCACCTCCCTCCACCCTCTCAGTGAGGTCAATGCAGCTGAGGAATGTGTACACGAGTTTTGGGAGGGAGAAAAACACTCTTCTCCCACACCCAAATATAGTCCTTAGAGCCTACCCTGTCCTAAGACTTAATTGCACCTGCTGGTATCGTGATAATTTGATGAAAGATAAAACAGTATCTTCTGTTGCTGGTACTCTTCCCCAGCCTGTCTGGCTCTGCTATCACCTTCTGAGAGGCTGCCAGAAGTTCAGCTTTGCTGGCTTCAAGGGCTTTAGAGTCCATTGTCACTCCCCTTGATATTTTTCCCACTGGTGTGGGAAAAATGGCTTTCAGACAGTGTTCTGCAAACATGTCCCAGTGTCCTACAGCTGATCAGGTATCTGTTCCCAAATTCCAAATTCCAGGACAGATTGGCTGGTGGGTGAGGCAAGGCAGGGTTAAGGAGATGAAGATGAACCTCTGCCTCTTTCCTCATGACACTCATCTTCTGGAAGGGATGTAGCGAGGGCTCTGGGCTCTGCCTGTGTTGAGGCACATCAGCTGTCAGGACTGAGGGACACACACATCTGCACACGCAGCTTTTTGGAATAATCACACACAATCTTTAATCCTGCACCAGTCCTATTGACAAATCAAACAGGTGCAAGGTCTTGAGTTGCTCTGCACTACAAAATGCCACACAAGGATAATCTTAGGTTAGATATGTAGATTAGTAGTTCTCCCAGTTCTATATAGGAGGAAACAGAAAGATGAAATTGCCCTCTCAAGCCATGTGTCTGCATTCCAGGCATATCCCAGCCTCCCACAGGCTCCCTGACAGCTGTGGGAAGATAGAAGTTGGTCAGCAGTGAGTCTGTGTCAGACTCAGGATGGATGTTTGTAGTTTCCAGTTCCCTGTTCTGTCGGGCAAGCAACATGGTGTCTGATTTAAAATTTGTAAGAATGTAGTATGAGCCATGAGAAAGTGAAATGATGCCAGTAATTCCATTGATCTCACTTGCTTTTACAATGTAATATAAAAAGGAAAATTTACCTGCCAGAAGTTCTGATAATTTTTTTCTTTGGAATTATTAAGAAAAGCTGACTTTTTTAGTTTACTATAATTAATTTTTTCTGATACATTTTACTTCTAAAAGATCAAAGCAACCTGATTAAAATAATTCTTTTTCTAGATCAAGGAGTTTCATGACTTTATCACTACAGCAGGTGTTAAAACCAAGATTTTTAATTCTGTTAGACTGAAAGAAACATTAAAATTGAATTATTTTAATTCAAAACAAAATATTTCTGTACATAACAGATGCAAAACTAGTGCTGCCAAAAACCCATTACACAATTTTACCAAGTTACTGCTCTTATGGAGCATTCTTCTCTGGGTGCATTTCCAACAAGATCTAACAGCAACTGAAGGAATGAGACTGGTGGGCTTTTCCCATCATTCCTAAGACTCTATGGCAAATATTTTTTATAGGAACTTAGAACTAGGGTCTTCTGTTAATCAGAAGTGCCTCAGCTTTTCATAGCAATGTGATAGAAACAAACAAAAAATTGTGAAACAAGTAGAACATTCAGTTCAGAGGATCTAGTTTGACAACTACCAATTATTTTCAGAGTAGTTTCTGAGTTCATCCTTGAAACCACCTGGGCATGGCATTACTGAGAGCTGTCTGTGCCCCTTACTGGAAGGGCAGATGATTGGTTTCTATACAACACTGTGCTCTGCAATTTCCTTGGATCCAGTCATGTGCCTGTAGGGCAAGAGAGACTGTTTTGGTATTCCCCATGGGAATGCTCA